TGCGCAAAAAAAAGTACTGTTTTAGAATAAATATGAACAATGTTTTGCCCAAATTGTAGGCAGGACAGACTTTTCCTTGCAAGGCAAAGTTAGTGTTAAATGCTTATTCTGTATTCCCGCCACCAGACCACTTTGATGTTCATGCTGTGTTTTATCTTATTGTGGACATTCATTTTTTGGCCACCCTCTGTGGCCCATCACAATTAATTCTTCGACAACACCTTTACACCTCGAACACAGCTTTCATCTCAAGCTTTTGGCTCAATCAGTTCCAGCCACCTATCTGTGTGTTGGTTTTGTGTGTGAGTGTGAAAGGAGAGCAAGCGGCATGCGAGGCAATATTTTCACAGTGTAATTCTTTTGAAGGTAATTCATCCCTGCTTTCAAGGTGTGACAAACTGGATTGTTTCCCATTTTCTGAGACATTTTCAAAATTCATTTTCGAGTGCCACCATATATGCACCGTAGCACTCACTGTGATTGATTTCATCCATGGTTGTGGGGTAATTAAAAACAGTATCCCACTGCAGACATAATGGGTAAATCATTCTATAGACAGGGATGTTTACAGGGTGGAAATTGACTCTCATCCACTAGTACCATACTGCTCAAAGAAGAGCAATGCATAAGTGGGTTGTAAATGCTACAAGATGGGAACAATATGGATGTGAACACCCCCCAACACCCTTGAAGCTGAAGATAAACACCTCAGTTTCACTTCAAATTCATTGTACCAAAGCAGAGAGGCGAGGTAATAGAAAATGTGTCAGTGTCCACTGTAGTGTGATAAATGATCTGCTAATATGAGCAGTTACTGTACAGGATATAATACTGTATATATTGGTGCTAAACAAAGGGAAGACATTTTTATTTTCTTTCAAAGCTACTTAAAGGATATTTTAAGGGGAATTTAGGGAACATTATTTCAGAACATTGAAATATAAATTTATTGGAATCCCAACTAGCTATTTACACCCATAATTTCTTTCAAAATGCTGTTTGCTTTTTCACTTAACTTCTGTAGGCCTATGTCTTTTTTTTCTAAACACCATCCCTTTGTTTTTTTATTTGTACAGTACTCCTCAAAAGTGCGCTATGCAGAGAGTCATAAAAATATATAGCAGTTCCAAATGTAGGACATAATTCAGAATGAAAACAGCATATTGTGTCAGTTGTGAATGGCAAATCATCCAAATTCCCCTCCAAACCAACCCAATTCGTGACTTTTCTAAAAATAGCCCATGACACTTCCTCATAAAACAGCACTGTCTAACGCGCGCACAAAACGCATTGTTTGCTAAGAGTATACAAACCACAAATAAAGATGCACGTTAAAACATGATGGCGTTTTAATATTAAAACATGATGTTTGCGCCACTGTTATGTTCAAAGCAAGAAGTAAACGCGAGGGTTTTTGCTGCGTTTCTGAATTCATTTGGAATTGACGTCATTCATCGATTAGCGCAGCTTGCAGGTTGGGGGATCGGGCGCTCCAGCTCATCACGAAGCCTCCTGACACAGTGGTAGGCACTCAGAGTGTGATGCGCTCTCAAGTTCCTTGACTCCTCTGACTGCTGCTGAGGGGGGTGAACATCTGTGAGACTACATTTGGCGCAAGCAATAATAGCCAATGGGGGAAAGGTTAGAAAGTCATTTTGAAAAGTTACTGGGACCGTAACTGGATCAAGCGTCTGGATTAAGGTAATTCAGCACTTATTCCCCAAGGTAAGGCACCTTTTCTTTGTCTTTAGTTAGTAGGCTAGTCTTGTAAAGCAGTGTACGTCAAGACGACAGAGGCGAAAACTGACTGAAATATGTGGCGAAATTGAACCTACATATAAGCTACTATTTGTCATGAGAACTACCAAACACTGGTATAAATGTGTTCACCCAGCTAATTTGCGCACATAGACGGAACTTTGTGGATTTCATTTTTCAAAGGGCTGACTTTCTAAATGCCTGACAATTTGTGTATATGTTCGTTTGCATGCATACAAGCGCTCTTATCACTGTAACACTAAGAGTAAGAGGACAGTAAAGGCATCCAAAAGTGAAATTCAAACACAGAACACATAAGTAGAATTCAAAGTGATAGACTGGCCTTTTAAAAATCACTTTTTATTAATCAGTTAAGAATCATTAATCAGCTCTAGTCTAAGTCTTTTAGGGTATCATCTCAGCTTTGAAAAGTTAATACCATGAGTTTTAACTGTGGACATTTTTATTTATTTATTTAACCTTTATTTAACCAGGAAGACCCGGGGGGTGGCCCTTATGCAGGGGTGGCATTGAAGCATGCACACATTTTTAGGGTTACCAAAGTTTTTTATATCAATTGAAATGTCCCCTTTTCATAAAGTGCAAAAACATTACACACATTTTATCTCTATGTCAAAATTTTTTTTTAGTTGACGCCACCTATTTTGTCATGTCCCTTATGACTATGAATTCATGATTATTCATTAAAATCCCATTATTTAGCTCCGTACCCTAGTGACCCCTCAACTGCGTTACACAAATCATTCCACCCAACATAAAAATAATGAAGTGATGATTAGGTGATGAGCCCTTATGTCCCCACCACTTTTCATCACAGAGTGACGCCCTTGTTTATAACTACATTTTAGTCATGCACATTGTGATGTTGTGGTCGTCAAGCTTAACGACTCAACCCAGTTACATGAAACAAGCACAGAAAACTATTACTTGTGAAAATTACATTTGTTATTTCAACAATAGATATGATTTCTTAATCTCATGCAGACTTTGTGCTCTCCTGTAATTCACCACATTTAGAGCAGGGGCCATCTTGAGGGAAAGATTCACAACCCCGTCACACTCAACCCCATTACTTTTTGGTTATAACAGGGTAGTGAGACTGGATTGTATTGTGTTTTAACTATTTAGTTGTGAAGTTATCCAATTATTTTAATGAATGATCAACAATATTTGATCAAGAGTCTTACCTACCACATGCATATGTTAAATGTAATAATAATAAAGCTCCTTCTGATTCTGATAATGTCCATGTAAAAGCTGTGTGTTCTGCCTAGAGGCACCTTTCTTTACCACACTGGCAAAGAATGGCTGTATTTGTCAAGGAAAATTAATAAGGCTAATATCCACAAATCTAGTGTATATAATTTGTGTATATTACTTTTTGTGAGTAGCATAAGGGGAACTACAAACTTTAGCTCATTATACAACCCTGTGTTGTAAAATGATAAATAAATCTAACTTGTACACACACACATATACTTTGTGGCTATCTTTGTGAGAATTTCCATTGACCTATCCCTAACCCTAACCCTCACAACTAAATGCTTAACTCTAACTCCAACCCTAAACTGAACCTAAACCCAATTCTCACATTCACTCTAGCCTGGACCCTCAAACAGGCCTTTAAAGAAATGAGAACCAGCCAGAATGTCCTCACTTTCCTAAAATGAATTTTAAAAAATGCTGTAGGATTAAAAAAAACTCAGTTCAACTGCAATGTTATCTATTGTCCTCAAATGGTTAAATAATTAAACACAATGTTTATAGAAAATCATACAGTGAATTTCAGTAAAACCCACAACTATTTATATTCTAAGCTGGATGTGTTACTATCTTCAACCCTGTTAACCAGTCTCAACCCCATCACACCTACATTTTATACTTTTTTATTTATTTATGATATTTCATATTGTTGGAACTATGTCTGAAATGTTTAGAACAATCATAAGAATACTGATTTTAGTTGAAATTCTAAAGTTAAACCACATCTTTGATAAAAACATTATATGGTTGGTGTCACAAAAAGTGTCAATTTCAGGCTTTAGTAAAGCATAAGTATGAGATTTCATGTAGCTTTTCTATTTATAGTTACTGAATTAGTGTTAGGGACATCTTAACAGGAAAATGTTGATTTCATGACAAATGCATTTTATAATCATATTCAGACAGCTTTCATAGTGTCCATAACGGGGTTGAAGACTAATGGTGCACATATCAAAATGTAATAACCAAAAAAAATAGGGATTTGATACCTGAGGTGGGAAAATATGTTTTTCTGAAAGTTAAATATGTTATTAATGTTGTGGGGTGTTCAGAAAAGTAATACATTTTGGTGAAAAATCAAAAAATGTGAACATCCAAATCGTACCGGTTTCGTGGAATGACTCTATTAACATTACAGTATCTTAGAGTTTCTTACATTCCTGTGTTGAAAATTGTAACTGAAAAAAAAATATATATATATATAGATCATGCACCTGTATGCCGAAGTCCGGTTTAGTGGTCAAACAGTGTCCGACAAATTCAGCCAGTAACTCGGCCAATACCAGAACACATACACGCCTTGTTCAGACTGCCATCCCAAATCCATGTTTTGGCATAGTAAGATTGTATACAGATTGATTTTAGAAAGTCTTGACAGCAAAAACCCACATTTAATGCAGTCTTTGAAAATTGGATCCAGGCCACATTTGGAGGTGGTTTGAATCAGATTTCTACAGATGCACCAAAGTCTGAAAGGTAAAATCGGATTTCAAAGTGTCTTTTGTGTCACTTGAAATGCGACACACAACGACATCAAATCAAGAGTGCAAGAGTGGCTGAGCAGACTCCATGCTGTGAGTTGTCAAATCGCCAAGTTTCACACCGCTTGACTTGTAGATGATTCATGTAATTTGCATGCAAGAACTGACAAAAAAATCTACTTGCAGCAACACTTCAAAAGTAGTCTAAATAAGCGGGAAATCTATGGACCTGGCAACCCTGGAACTAAGGTCCCACCTCTGGCCAGGCAGATACTTTCACGCAAAACCTTGAAAGGTTTCCTCTGTGAGAAAACCATGTTTATGCATATAGCAGATGTGTTTCAGACAGTAACAGATTAAGACAGATAGTGTAGAGGCTGACATTTTTTTTAAAGGTTTTAAATACACATATTAAAAGCCTATATATTATCAGTTAGAGCAGCTCTTGACAGTGCTCTTGAAAAACTCAATTTTCAGATGGCCTTGTTAGAGGAAGATGTTGGATTCCACTCCAGCATACCCGTGCCACTGGATGTAACTGTGGCTGTGGTCTACTCTGTTTTTGGTGAGTAAAGAAACTCAAACCAATCTCTTTTTTATTCCTTAACAGATTATAAAGAGTTAATCACACTAATAATGCTGTCAATGACTTTCCTACTCATTTTGCTCAGGCTGAAATGAGTAACAGCGTGAAGCAAGACAGCACGCTGTGTGTCCTTGGAAGCACATTTACCTTTGTGCTTTTGACTGTGTTACTAAGTGAAATGCATTTTACTTCCACCTATAATACTTAACTATGCATATGTATTACTTCCATCTACATTTACCTATATAACTATATTTACATCAATGTACAGACCCAGGCAGCCAATGTTGCAGCTGTTCATTAATTGTTTTTGCGCTGAACACGACAACATATGCGACCTCTGATAATGAATTCTATGACTCAACCACGTACTGAAAAGAAAAAAAATAGCCCTAGGTTAACCTTCATCTTAGTCTTTGATCTTGCCAACATTACTGGAGAATCTCCAAATTTAATGTAGTCGTAGCCTTACTAGAAGGAAACCAAAAATACATGAAAAAAAGGTGTATAACAAATTAATAAATACTTTATGTCCAAATTAATCAAAATGCAGTCATGTCTAAAAATAGACTTTTGTTTTGGTACAAAATGACATTTAAAAATAAATTTTTTAAAGACTCTTTAAGGATATGTTCACTTAATGTGATTTTTTTTAAAGCGGCATCACAAACTCATTAACCGAAATGCTGAAATAAGACAGCGTAGATGTAAATGGGTGTTTACATTAAAATGTATTTTCTGTCCATGCTCTGCCATGCTGAAACTTTCTGTGTAATGTTAGTATTTATTACTAAAATAAAATAAAACACTGAATGTCAGGACTATGGTTGGAACAAATTGTAAAACTCTTGTAGTTTTGTATTGAACACATGCATATTTTTTATTTGTAATACCACTTGCGCCTCGAGACGCTGCCCTTGGTCAACATGAGAGGGTGAAGAAGTAGAGCTCTTTGCTCAAGGTTAGCTAGTGATGTCGGGGAGAGGGAGAGAATGATGGTAGGGGAGGTGAAATGGTGCCCTCTATTTGTTTTGGAGCAATTGGAGCTATTCCAAAACCAATTCCCTGACATTAGCACCTCAATCTTGTGGCACACAATCAAGACACCCTTACATTCAGATGTTTTGGTCTGTTGTTCCTGCAGGAGTATGTTCACTGTTTGGAAACAGCACACTGTTGTACATCTCCTACAAGAAAAAGCACCTCCTGAAACCTGCAGAGTACTTCATCATCAACCTAGCTGTTAGTGACTTGGGCCTGACTTTGTCCCTCTACCCCATGGCGATAACTTCAAGCTTCTACCACAGGTACTACACCTGGCACCTAGAACTAACTGGCATCAAAGCAAGGAAAGAAAGGGGTTGTTCTTATCACCATAGAATGGGACACTTTCATGTGAAACACATGTGCAATAGGGCAGATAGGTATGGCTTTTAGTCAGACTTCATATTTCATGGTTCATTTAACTATATGGTTGGTTAGCAGTATGATTGCCTGTGAGTTCACAAATATGGAGTGTTATGCTCATGCTGTGTTCTCCTCCTTTCCCTCTCTCACCCTCTCCCTCATTGATCTTTCCTCTCTGTCTTTTCTTTGCACTGTCCTCTTCCTTTCTCACATCTCCTTACCCTCCTGCGCAGATGGCTGTATGGGAAAACAGTGTGCTCCATATATGCTTTTTGTGGCATGTTGTTTGGCATCTGCAGTCTGACCACTCTAACCCTGCTGAGCATGGTGTGCTTTGTGAAAGTATGTTATCCGCTCTATGGTAAGTCTTCAAAGAAGCTATTTTTACCCAATGAAATGGCACAGGATTAACTATCCCATCCCTGAATGGCTGATTGTTGATTTATCTGTGGAAGGAAACGAAATAATAATCCCTCCATGAAGCACTGCACATTAGCCTTCCTTTGATGACTGACAAGTCTAGGGGCTGCACTCAATAAGTTTTACTTATGATGTTGGTTAATGTAGTGCAATGGGGCCTTCTATTTCACCTCAAGAAATTGTGTTTTCAGAGTCACAAAAGCGTTTCGATACAGAACTCTCAATTAGACGCACTTTGTAACACAAAATTTATACGAATTATTTTTGAGGTACTTAATCTTAATTTATTGTAGATTTTCCTTTGAAATGTTGACCTACAAAAATGTATGTTCTATTTAATTTCATTTTTTGTAAAGTCTCACTGTGGTATCACACCCCCTGCTTATTTACAGAAGCACTCATTTCATTACGACTCACTGACAGCCGTGATGTCTGCGTGTATTTTAGGCAGACGTAACGTCACTCGTCATTTAATCACCCCTTCTCGCTTCTAATCTGTCACCTGTTTCTGCAGGCTAACTAGAGGCCTGCAACTGCTCATGCTTTACCTGAGCTATCTTAGCAGTTTTTAATCCAGATTATTACTCTCATTTAACTGCCAAGCTGCCTCTCACCATGAAAAAAAAAAGTTTCTAGCACTAGTCTTCTGCAGTAACACAACTCTGACCAAAAATACACCAGGTCTGCTCTGCTTGCCTCTGGCTGAAACATGCCCAGGCTGCTGATGACCGTTTTACAGCAAAGAGTCTCCTTTGTAGACTGATGTGTTAAGCCATTCTCTTGGTGAAGGAGCCTACTCTCACCAACTTTCCCACAGAGGAAACACAACCCATTGTGGGTGAGAATAACAACCCTACCTACTTCATCTCCTGGAGGGAGAATCCATATTCCAGCAAGACACCCATTCAAGGACCATCTTTCCTGGAGTTTGAAGGCATGTATGGCATGCATGCTGCCCTTGGTGAAGCCATTGGTGGCAACCCCCCAACATCCAGTCAGCTACATCATTTAGACCACACAGCCCTTCATCTGAAGCCGATCATTACAAGTCGACTGAGAATGCTCATAAGGCGGCCTTCATAGTGCAAGCATTCAATATTTGTATGTTTAAAGACAGAACACAGAATGGGGTCTCAAATAATTAAATTAAGTTCTTGAGTTGCATCATGGACTGGTGAGGGGGGACAATATAGCCATGGTGGCAGATACAGACAAGCATATTCCTTGATTTATTTTCCAATGGCAATCCCCTTTAGGGAGAAGGATAAACTTAATTTAGCCTTAGTGAATCAGACTTGTCATGGAAGGTTTATTTGTATTACAGGGGAACATACAGTGTCCACTGTTTTTGCCCAGCACAATCAGGATGCACACGGACCAGATGCACTTGCACACGACAGGCCTTGTATTCTGCTGTTTAGGTTTCTTTCCCTTGATTCCTTCAACTCTCTTCAGAGTAATGGGGAATTGTCTGACCCTTACGCCATGCCTTGTGTATGCAGTAAGTTTCAACATAGGCATAATGACAGCCAGCCACTCAGATCTAGAGCCCTCTGCACAGGCCGAAAACTCCAGCCCTAGCCTGGCCCTAACCTTCACTTAAAGCTATCTCTGATGCACACTCTCTCTGATATATTCAAATACACACACATACATGCTACAACGTAGCATACATATTAGGTAAATTTAATTTAATAATCTGACAATTATGCCCACAAATACTAAGGCAGACTGTCCATTACAGCATAAGCATGCAATAAAGACTAATGCTGCTGGCCTGAATCGACCAAGCGTCAGGGGCCCACTGGGTCCGCACGGACTGGCAGAGCTCTACTCAGAGCTGGTGTAAAGGCATTCACCTGCCATGTATGTGAACAAGTGTCAGTAAGTATGCAGGACTTGAACTTCTGTCTCAAGCTGTCTTTTTTAAATTCTTCATGCAACTACTTCCATCACTCAAAAAGACTGTACGAAAGTCTGCAGCGTAATCCCATTTTGAATGATTAGTTCATTTCTGTCTCTATGACAGTAGGCTTTTTGCCCTGCCTTAGGGTGTTGCCATTCATACAAGCTATAAACACTTCAGTTGGACAACACTATGTATGAAATAGTTTGTTTCAAGCAGGCCCTGTGCTTAAATGGAATAAGTGCTTCTGAGAACACATGGGGGACGCATTCACATACTGAGAGATTTCATTAGAACTACTCAAAAAATTTATTCTAGCATATTTTCTTTTGGTAAATCTATAAATAATATTTGTGCCAGATTCTTTCAACTACAAGAATGATAAAATACAAACTTAATGTGTTTTCACAGGGAACAGGTTTAAATATGTTCACGGCTGTCTGCTCATTACCTGTGCTTGGGTGTATGCGCTGCTGTTTGCCTGCTCCCCGCTGGTCCACTGGGGGAAATATGGACCAGAGCCCTACGGTACTGCCTGTTGCATTGACTGGCGCCTGTCCAATCAGCACACCACAGCACGCTCCTACACTGTGACACTGTTCATCTTCTGCTACATCCTTCCGTGCTGCATTATTGTAGCATCCTACATAGGCATTCTGGTCACAGTGCATGCATCCCGCAAGAATATGGAGCAGCATACATCGAGGCTGACACACATGAACGGCATCCAGACAATTATTGTTAAGGTAAGAGGAAAGTCTGATAAAAACAAGTCATTACTTCCATCATATTAGAAACACCATTTGGCTTATTAAGTGCTTTTACACTTTCTGCTAGAGTCAACATTTTAAGTGCTAAGAAAGAAGGCCTAAGAAAGAAGTTTGTGACCCTACCACTACGTTATCTTTCACTCTCTCAGTCTCGTCTCACCTCTACATGCTTGCCCCCATCTTTGTGTACACGTCTGAAGAGTATTACTAATCCGCTTGCCCTCTTTTAACTACATGCAGGATATGTATGATGTATAAGCCTGGAACATAAGAGCTGTCAGAGCTGACAGTCATTTACTCATAACTATGATTACTGGTACAGCTTTTATTACTTTCACTTGTCCAATCTGTGACCTACTGTAACTTTAAAACAAATGAAAGAAAGAACTGCTGATCAGTTAAAACTAAACTGACACCAGATGAATAGATATGGTAAAATGTTAAATGTGGGGGGGAGCAAGAGGGGGCGAAGCGCCTCCTTAGAGACGAGTCATCTGGAGAGTTCAAAACTCCATTTGTTGAAGAAAGTGGCAGTGACCTCAATAGATCCTCCAGTGATGCAGCTTCTCATTAGCAGGAATTGGCTCTGGCTGTAGTGTGATAGATGAGAAGCTATTGATGCCATTACTGATAAATGGTCGTCATCGTACACCATTCTCCAAGAATTACTCTGATTCATACAAAAAGACTCACAAAAATGCCTTTCTGCCCATGTAGGCTCTGAGTGATGTTGGTAAATAAAAATTTCAGGGCGTGATGATAAATGCTCAGATATACCAGCCAGTCACTCTTTAGATTGTATCTTGTGCTTTTAAAGCATAAGTCTGGTGATATTCTGTATTTTTGTTATTGTTGTCAAATGCCGTGAAAAAACGTAAACCAACAATTGTTCCTGCTAACATGTACTGCCTGATTGACAAGCTTATACCGTTGTGCCATAGAGCTACATGGTTGTCCAAAAACTATTAAAAACACATAAATGAGCCACTGTAGTTTGCTGCCATAAATACTCACTAAAACACTAAATGTGTATTAATCTGCGACTGAAAGTAGTCCCCAAGAAGTACGCTTGTTTGACTAACATTTGCTAAAACCTGCAGTGCCCAGATGTTTAAGGAAACTAATTTTTTAAAAGGGAAGTCAGAAAGTGTGTAGAGACCAAGGTTATTATAGTTTTCGATTTTTCATTAGGTTTTATTTTTTATTTCGTTTTGACTTTTTGTTTTCAATTCCAGTTTAGTTTTAATTAGTTTTTAACGTGGGTTTGCTAGTTTAGTTTTGGTTTCTGTGATCAGCGTTGATAACCTACTGAAAAGGTTATCCAGCTTGATATTTGCCTTTATTAAGGCAAAGGTGTCAGCATCTGTGACTGAAGTAAAATCAATTAATAATATTGCTGAAGGCTGGTAATACATAACGTGAGGCTACACGGTGCAACATTATCCTCACTTTGATCACGTTACAAGACAGCTGGCATGGGTCTCAATTAGGCCTATTGTTGACAGTTTAATACATATGCATATTAGCAAGTTATGGCATACGAGAGAAAAGGCTTAATAGCCGATGGTAACTTACATGGTGATCAACCGTCATAGTCGGTGATTTATTTCTTTTTATTGTAGAAAACACTTTATGGCTTATTTCAACAACCCAAAAACATAAAATGGCGTTGAAACAGTATTAGATTACAAAAAAGCCAAAAGAAAACAACCCCATAAAGAAGGTAATTGTGAGTCTTATTAAAGTATCATAATGTGAGTCTGTATTGCAAGGATCTTGCTAAATGTGGTCAATGGATTTCATCGTTTGAGATTGAGAATGTGTGCTGCCGCAAGGAATTGTGGAATAGCATTCTCTCCTGTACCTTATGCTAAAGGAGATATGAAAGGAAGCATTGAGGCACCATTCCTTAGCTTTTAGAGAATTCGAACAGCTCTTATCATGGCTGCCACGGAAATACTTCCGGTTCACTTCACTCAGTTAGGAGCCTTCCTAAGCAAAAAGACTTTTCGAACGCAGCCGAGGAGTCGAGGAGACAGAAATTTAGGAAATGAGAAAGTCCCACTGCCTGCAACCCAAACTAAACGCACTACTCGATACGGTTGTCATATATTTAGTAGCTACACATGTAGGCCTATGTATAAAAGATAATAGAAAACATGTTCAAATCCCACCAACTACACAAGCGATCCCTACCATTGTCTCCCTGACTAAGTTAGCCTACCCCTAATGTTACATGGGACTACCCTACCCCTGCCACCCTGATCTCTTGACAGATAAAGCAATCATGGAAGGACGGCCACAGGAAACGCAGCGGGCCAGTGTAACACCAAATCTGTGACCTATCAGATTCTGTGACTACACCCAAACGAGGATGTTTTCCTAACCATGACAAAGTACTTTTGGTGCCTAAACCCAACCAAACTGCAACTGCTTCACATTGTCTACAAAGCCTCTGGTGTTTAACTTGTCATTTGGGTCACAGAATCTGATAGGTCACACATTTTGGTGTGACACAGATCCAGCCAGACCAACTGCCCTGCAACATCAGTTCCCCCATATCCACTCGAAATGTAGGCTTAGGCTATTTAGGTTCTATGAAATGAATAAACAAAAATTATAAGGACATTTACTCTTTCATTTTAGTTTATTAGTTTTGCAAACCTACAATACAGTTTTAGTTAGTTATCGTATTTGTAAAGCCTCTTTTTTATTTTTATTTCAGTTAACGACAATGTTTTTTCACATCTAGTTTTCATTATTTCGTTCGTCTTCGTTTACGATAATTACCTTGGTAGATGAAGTACCTCACTGGTGGTTTTGGTGTTTTCATGGGATTTTGTTGACAGTAACAAAACTACAGAAAAATACCAGACTCATACACATAATATGGTTTTCTGTGCAAAACACCTAAAGCTGATTGTTTTTCAAAAGTATTTATTTTTTGATGAACAATAACCAATTACACTTTTATCCTGTGTGCTCTTCTTCTTGCAAGCTAAGTGTTGCTGTCTGCATCAGTTTCTTTGCGGCATGGAGTCCATATGCTGTGGTGTCCATGTGGGCTGCCTTTGGACACATTGAAAACATCCCCCCTCTGGCATTTACCATGCCAGCCATGTTTGCCAAGTCCTCTACCATCTACAACCCAATCATCAACCTAATGCTGAGGCCAAACTTCCGCAGAGTGATGTGCAGAGACATGGGTAGTCTATGCCACGCCTGTCTAAAGGGCTGCTTCTGCTCCAAGGGACCAGCTAAGTGCTGCTCCAAGCCAGAGATCAGGGTCAAACTTCACACAATCCACAAACAGACCAATCAATTCCCTTCATCCAACTCCTTTGCTCAACCTCCTGTAGTATTAGTAAAGGACCACAGCTGTGAGAAGTGCAAGGATGCTTTCGAATGCTTCAGACACTACCCTCAAATGTGCGGTGTCACTAACTGTGCCAATGGTGGTGACTCATCAACACATAAGCAGAAGACTCAAAGTGTGTGTTGCAAGAAGTCTCCACTGGCCACCATGTGTGCGAAAAGGACTTCAGAAATAAACAACTTCAACATTAATTTAGAAATGGTTCCAGGGCATGCAAAAGTGGCTTGGCCCTGATATTTATCTCAGTTTATAATGTTTACACAATGAGACTAGACATATTTTGCAGGTTATGTTCTTTCAGACGTGAAATTACTTAATCTATATTTTCAGGGAATGTGTCAGGGCTACATGGCTTAACATCTATAGTTGTCCACCTGTTCATTTCCCAGTCAGTATCAATGCCAGTCTTTAAGTTCTGGTTCAGATTGAGACACCTTTGGAACTATCCAATCCCCTAGGCTGCATTTTATGTGTTGCAGCAACTTAAATTTCTCTATAGATCAAGATTGTACCACCTCAAACATTACTTGAATCATCTGTCTCAAATCACTGTATTACCTTAACACAGCTGGATGTACGGAAGTGCTCCTTTCAAATTAGCATAAATTTGGCCAAGTTGATTGGAGAGCAACTTTCAATGTTTACAATAATTTGGATGCATCTTGTATTAACTGTGAGTCTCTTTAAAGCTTTCTCTATAAAGTATTTCTCTACCGTTACATATTCATGAATAAGCCACAAAGTTTAAACAACATTTTAGGTAATTACTTTAACTCAAACTCTCTGAATCAGCGTATCCGTTTCATCACCACTGTTTAGATGCGTCATCCATCCATCCATCGTCAACCGCTTATCCTGCGTGCAGGGTCGGGGGTGGAGCCAATCCCAGCTGACATCAGGCGAAAGGCAGGGTACACCCTGGACAGGTCGCCAGTCCATTGTAGAGATATGTGTGTCAATTAAATTTTATTAAGCTCAGTGATGAAACAATCCACCAAATACTGATTGGTGCAAGTACATAGCATCACTTCCATATTAGCCTCACCTGCTTTAAAATCAGCGAGAGGAGCAAGAAAAACATTTGGACGTGTGAAATGCCAAATAACCAGAACTGTTCCAACTATGGCAGAGATTGACTGAGAAAAAAATCTTTCAGGGCCTTTGAAGAAGTAGAATACTTGAATAAATACCCGCGCATTCAAAACAGTACCAATTGATAAACTGTTGATCCTTAGACTAATGGTACCCTCAAATTGAAGCTGACGTTCTGCACTTTCAACCTTTGTTAGGAAGTGCTGTGCAAATACTTGTGGACCTTTTATTAAGTGGTTGATATTATGTTTTACAAGTAATTGACTCACTTGCTGCTAGCATTATCTGAGTTCAACCTCAGGGAATCTAGCTGCTGGGGAAAATGACAGTCACTGACGACTTTTACACAGGTTTATCCTGGATCATGGCTTTGTTGTAAAAGGGGTATAACATGCATTTGATTTCCATGCTAAGGCTTAGTAAATGATGAGAACTCTACCTTGGTTAATTACAGCAACAGGCCTATATCAGTAGGCTACATCTAGGCTACATGTGAACTGAGAGCCATTTCATTTAAAAAGCCGTCAACACCTTCTTTACTACGCCACCCCAAGTATTGTTTACACTTAGCAACTGCAGGTATAGTTTATGGTGCTTCATCATTAGGTATTGGACTCTGCCAAGGTTGCCCCTTGTCACCGATCATCTGATTTGGGGACCTCAGAATTGCCTCTTTTTGTAAATGATGTGGTTCTGTTGGCTTCATCAGACTATGAACTTCAGCACGCACTGGGGCTGTTTGCAGCCCAGTGTGAAGCGGCTGGGATGAGAGCAAGGTTATTATTGTTTACGAAGACAAACGAAATAACAAAAACTAGATGTGAAAAAATATTGTCTTAACTAAAATAAAAATAAAAACGAGGCTTTACAAAAAAACGATAACTAACTAAAACTGTGTTGTAGGTTTGCAAAACTAACTCAAATTAAATGAAAGAGTAAATGTCCTTATAGTTTTCATTTATTTATTTATTTATTTCATAAGACCTAAATAAACCTACATTTCTAGTGGATATGAAGCGGGGGGAACTGATGTTGCAGGGTAGTTGGTCTGGCCGGACCGGTGTGACACCAAAATCTGTGACCTATCAGATTCTGTGACTACACCCAAACGACGATATATTCCTAACCATTACCAAGTACTTTTGGTGCCTAAACCCTACCAAGTACTTTTGGTACCTAAACCCTACCAAGTACTTTTGGTACCTAAACCCAGCCAAACTGCTACCGCTTCACATCGTCAACAAAGCCTCTGGCGCTTAACTTGCCATTTGGGTCACAGAATCAGGTCACACATTTTGTTACACCGGCAGTTCACCATTGTGCGCGGTGATTAGCCAATAGGCATCTGTTAGTGGGTGTGTTCTTATTTTGTCCTCCGCGTGAAGAGCTGACGCGCTGCGTGTCGGGTGTCTGTCCTGCCACGATTACTTTAACCATCAAGAGAGCCCGGGGTCAGGGCGGAATCTGGCTGCAAGTGGCGACCGCTGCTACGAGGAGATCCCCATGTAACGTTATGGGTAGGCTAACTTAGTCTGGGACACCCAGGTAGGGATCGGCTGCTTAGTTGATGGGATTTCAACATGTTTTCTCTTGTCTTTCATACATACATGTGTACAAAATAATATGAATGCAACAACCATTTAGAGCATAGACTGTATATAAAAAGGTATGGAGTTGTGTTTTGTTTCGTTTGAGTTGCAGGCAGTGAGTCACTGTCTGGTGGTTTTGTTTTCCTTGTTTTGTTCTGTTCTGATGGTCTGGCTTAGTGCTCATCCTGGGTGTGGGATAAACTTGCCCCTTGCCCGTTGATTGAGTTACCCTATCACTGGGTTAACGTGTCTGCTGGCCATTATATTTAGGCTACTGCATGTCAGCTAGTGTGTGTTTTATGGGGTCATTGATATCTCAGCCAACCTGTCTCTTAATACCAACCTGTGTTAATACCTATTTTTGATTAATAAAGGTTTAGATTTTTATACAACTGCTTTCCAGGCATACATGCCTTCAGGGTGCTAGTGACCTGTTGTTTGTGGCTCCAAAGGGGGCCTACACTATCATCCAATATCTTAGCTGTCCATCACCTCCATTTATTGTATTTCACCTATTTAACCAAGAATGATAGAGTTGGAGACTGATGTAATGGATACTGGGAGTTTGGTCTTAGGGTTTTGTATGTAGGTTAGAAATGATTGGCTAATGTAGATTGCATGTGCTTCATTTATTTGTAGTATTTATTTAGACAATGTGTTAGTACTTCCAGTGCTTGAAGTGGTCCGGGACGCCCCGGTACGCAGTACAGGTGTTCTGTCGATTTATGCTACCTATCGAGATGTGCTACTTAGCGGTTCTGCGCAAGCGTGGTGTGTTTCCACGCCCATAAATCTGTGCAACCTTGCTGTTGGGAATAGGCCTATCTGTCAGTAATATAACAAAACAACATTATTAGTCTATCAGAATACGCTACCCCTGATATCTTAAATAAAGATGGCATAATATAGTATTTCAACGTGCTCCCCATCTCCTTACAATACACATGGAGTGAATAGTAGTGCAATCGGGTGCAATATAAAATGATTCTGTAGTGGGAGCATTATTTGATATATTTGATAGAATCAGAATACGCTGCCCCTGAAATGATGTTATAATATAATCAAAAAACAGAAGATGTCATACCGTGAGAGTTATAACTTTATGGGATTGAAAAAGGGAACACATAAGGTAGCATTTTTCGAAAGGGCAGAGCGACTCGATGGTCTCTGCTGTCGATTTGCGCTACGGTAGCATTTTTCGACAAGGCAGCATAGATCGTCACCGGTACTCTCCTCTGCCCTCTCCATATCTGGTTTTGTGGGCGCTACGTGACGCTCACCTGTTCCCGTTCTCGCCTGCCTGCAAACCTCTGTCGGCGGAGAGAGACGAGGGAGAAGAGAAGCTCAGGTTCCTTTCAAGCAGCCGTGTGCTGAATGTAGCTCGTAAATGTCACTTATCGTGAACCGACCAATCACAGCCTGGATGGGGCGGGACATTTAAAATTACTGACAGATAGGTGTCATTTACACTGGGGACAGGTCTGGCACCTTCTTTTCCCCCACTTCAATCACTAAGTACTTCAAGTATAGGCTATACATTTGCTTAGTGTTTGGGCCCCTACTTATAAGCTTCAGATATCTTAAAAAAGGGTGTCCCTTTTCACAAATCTGCATTGTTTCTAATGATTGTACTTATATTTAATGTTTTATGATAAAACTAAACTGGACTGAACTACACCGAACTGAGCTTGGCATCCTGCAGCGACAAAGACTAAAACTAACACTAAAACTAATAAAAACTAAACTAAACTATCAAACCTACGTTAACATTTTTTAATAAAAAAAAAAAAAGCAAAGCTTTCGATTGATTAGTCAATCTTCATTCCAACCCTCTATAGTCATGAGCTGTGGGTAGTGGCAGATAGAACGAAGTTGAGTTTCCCATGTACGGTGGCTGGGCTCAACCAGGTGGTTCAGGCTTCTGATTAGGATACCCCCTGAACCACCTTTCTCTGAAGGTTTTCCGGGCATGTCCAATCGATGGAGACCCAGAGGTAGACCCAGAACTTGCTGGAGGGATTATAGCCTACATCTCATCTGTCCTGCACAAATTGAGATCCCCCAGGAGGGGCTGGAAAATGGAGAGGGACATCTGGGATGTCTTGCTTAGCCTGCTGCCACCATGATGTACCAGATACATGGGAGAAAACGGATGGATGGATGCTTGATCAATTTACTGTGTACACACGGTGTAGAACACAATGCTGCGGCATAACACAATGCAGCTGCGTAACGCCATTATTATGGCCCAGCACAATATTGTCTTATCTACCCATATTATTAGAACTTCGAGTCATTGTTTATTATGTGTACAATGAAATTTTAATATTTTCTTTTTACATTTATTTCACTACACAAGTGGGAAAGGGAAGAAAGACAAAGGAACCAAAACAATCCAATCCAAATAATGTGTAGATAAATTCATTAGTGGGGATAAGACTATTAAATTCATGCTGTCTGTAATTGTTGTGTAAATCCATTCTCTAAACATGTTTGGAATGGGATTTGGGCACTCACTCAAGAACAAATCCATCTTTGACTACTCAAGCTATTGGCTATCAGCTTTTGATTAACAAATGTATTTAATTAGATTTTATCTATCAATCAACAGGGTGCTATTTTAACAGCATCCCCAAATCTGACAGAGAACAGATGTAATTACTGTTATTAAACTGGAATGCCTGTCCATATTTGTGTCCCTGGAGGCCCTTATCATTAATCGCTCATGACATCAAGGGATTCATTTTCTTGTGTTTAGTGAAGAGATTATTAAACTCACCAGGTAAAATATAACAGCAGTGTCTGTTTGATTTGCGTCACATCTATAATCCACAAAATGCTCCATTAAAATATGATTTCAAAAAGTCTTTCTGTCTTCCTGTGTATTCAAAGATAAAACAGATAATCTGGACAAACAAACTTCTGTGTAAACTCTCGCACTCAGGAAAAATGATCCTACAAAATGTCATGTAATAAAAAGCCTGTGTATTCAGACTTAGTTATCACATGTAGAGCTTTCTATGG